CCAAGCACCAAAGCTGTGGAAAACGCTCTCCGCCACTGCGTTGCCGCACTGTCCACCTGATGCACTGCTTTTATTCTTTCAAAAGCCCTTACAGGTAAGCCAGGTAAGCCTTCACGGAACAGACCAGGCACAGAAGCAACATGAAGAAACTGTCCACCTACTATATCCTTCCTGCAAATGTATATACTGTATACGTCACTACTGAAACCATTAGTAGACTCTTTTACATGACTTTAAACCAATCCTTCTGATAGCCTTTTGCAGCTCAGAAAAGCTGCCTTGAGGCCATGAGTGTTGTTAAATGATATCATTGCTCGGAGCCTAAATAGTCAGAACGCCCAAAAGGGAGACATGATTCATTCAGCGGACCAGGAGTACGGTCCACGGTCATAATATACGGTCGTTGTTTGCAGTTTGTCAATTGTTCTGTGCCTTCTATCCCATTACTTTGGAGCATCCTGTAAACAGGGTGAGAGGTGCTCTATGCTTTTGTGACACTTGGGTGACTTGGGTTGCCAAGGTAGATCGTGGGCAAAGTTTTCCTTCTTTGCCGAACTGAAACTGTCTGTCTTTGTCGGGCTTGGTTGAGGTGATAGGACTCCAGACATCTCAGGGATATACGCATGCAGAATGAACAGCTGTAGAACTCAGACATCATCGATTCCTTATCCCGTAGAAGTGGTTCGGAAGAGATCTTGGGATGTGCCCTTTGCTACTTGCAGATCAAATCAACATTGATTGCAGGTTCCAGAGCACTTCTTCAGAGATTTACATGAACTCACAGAACTTATGGATCACTCAGGACTATATATTATATATATTAAGCTAATTTTATATATAGTTTTTTTAATCATAGATTTATCTTTCATCTCTTGGGTCGAGAAGCCATTGTTGCACCTTTCCAAAGCTTCAACCTTGCTATTCCAAGCCATGCGTAATTTTGGAGACTATTCTACTTTTGCTGCCGGCGGGTGGTGCGCCGCAATACACAAGCTTTGTGTGTTTGAACAGAGCATACACTCAAAACCTCATGGCTGACCCCGTGCAGGATTTGGCTGCTCTCTTTAGTCATCCTGCATGTTTGGCAAATCTTAGGCCATGCTAGCTTAGCTCGTTCCCCAAACACATGCTAGCTTTGTTCGCCACCTCTTCCAGGCACCCGTCGCCAGCGGTGTTGTCGGCCTCCGCTGTTATGCCGCTGTATGCCGCATTTGCCAAAGGCAAATGTTTCCACGCATCGACTGCCACGGTGCTGGTTCGGAGTGCGTTTCACCCGATGAACCGGCGGAACGTTGTCTCCACGCGGTTCGGAAATCGAAACAAAACAGGTCCAGAGAGAGTCCGGAGAGGATGTTCAGAATTGGAATTGCTGCAACATTTGACCAACCTTTTGATCCGTTTCAAAGAGCCAAGCTGGTCTGAACGAAAGATCTGGTCCGGACATGTCCGGTGTTCGCGTCCTCCGTGGGCATCACCAAATCCAGGCAGCCCGGCTCCCAAACGTGGCCACTTGGTCAGTGACGTTGGACCTGAAGGTCCCTCACAAGATCCGCTAGAAAAGCGGTCAGATTTGACTGTCAGATTGACATACACCACCACACCGTTTTCTTCTGCTCAACATGCGTTCCGGTATGTTCACGGAGCGACCTCCCCAAAAAAGTCCAAGACAAAATGGTTGTTTTTCAGGAATTGATTGATGCGATTCTATTTCCAATGGTACCGGACATGACAGAAGATATTTGAAAAAAACAAAACTAAAGGAGGAGTTTGATGTTGGTAGCTGTAGCAATGCCATTCCGATTTTCTATCTCTCCAATCCACGTGCTTCAGAGACTCTCAGAATGCACTGGATAGAAATTTGCCAGCGTAGCAGGGGTGGAGAGTGTATGGACTTGGCCGCGGCGTCAGTCTCGGTAGTGTTGTTAGACAAGTGTCCTTCACGACTTTGAGCAATCGCAAGTTGGGTACCTTCGATTTGCCAAAAGGTTGTTGAGCATCTAAAGCAACATGTTCAAAGCTGGCTGGAAATTCCCAATATGGTTCCAGGGTTCCAGAATGCAAATTGTATCTAATTGAGCCACACATCTATCAGTCAGAGGGCTATTCTGTAGACTGCCAAGATTGCTTAATCCAAGCACGCAGGGCTGAAGGTCAGAATTCCCAAAGTAATTGACCAGAGGACCCTTGCTTTGGTTGCCAGGGGTGCTGCCATCCGTCTGGTCAATGTCTATCAGTCGGTCGCGCTTGGTGCACAGTGCCACAGTGCAGTAGTCAGCTCGGAGTAGCGCAGGGGGCGCGAGCGAGTGCTCGGCGATCCAGATAAGATCCAAAACCGATAGGATTTGAAATCTATTACTTGTGTGGTTCACTATGTTTCACTTGCTCCTTGAATATCTATTATTTCTGTTGAGTCTTCAAGAGAATTCTGCAGAAATTATCAAAGATTCCGATGAAGACAGCGATGACGATGTTTGCCCTCTCTTCTCAGTTTGTACCAAAGAACTTACCGGAAAGTTTAGTTTGGAGAGCCGTGGACTAACTACCCAGCCACAGGTGGCGGTTGATTTAAATCGCAACGGTTGTCACGAAAGGTAGCTTGAGCTACCTGAGTTCTCCTTGCTTTAGCAAAAATGTATTACAATCAGGAGTTGGGATTGTGCATTGAGTTTGGTCCTGTAAGAGTTGATTCTGTTCGTCGGGGGGGGGCCCCCCCCCTGGATCAAATCCCCCTGCGCCGGTTCACGCCGTCATGGACTTTTACCAGGGTTGCTTGTGATTGCCTGCTACCTTTCGTTCACCCCCTCCTCTCTCAAGTTTGCTTTGACTCCACAGGCTTCAAACCCCTTTCTATAAGCAGGCTCTTTAAGAAAACCAATACAAACACGACAAACAACAAACAAGAAACAAACATTTGCATACCCTGTCGGTGGATAATTAGCTTTATAACATACCTTTAAACATGTTGTTTTGGGGTGATTGGTCTTTCCACTCACCACAGGTAGAAAGGAACCGGTGAACGACACTGTTGGAGGCTAAGTCCTCGACCTTTGGAGGGCAGTGATGGCGTCAGTCATTTTCATAGCTATCCCGGGTGTGAGTGTGTGTTTTTTCCTTTTCTTTAAAGCTGGGTACTATAATTGGGTGGGGTGATCTTGAAAGGGATCCTGGAGGTCTGTTTTTCCTCATCAAACCTCATGTACACTCAGTCATGTCATGTCACACTCAGATGTGCAAAGAAAAGAGTGCACAAGTTGAAGAAACGAGTCGTGCGCCTCACGCGGTGCGCCACTCTAGAAGTCCAATTCGGCTTTTCTGCACCGCAAGATGCAGAAGGACCTTGGATTCGATGGAGAAACGGACTGAGAAGAGAAAGATCCTTCTCCGATTCCTGAGGAGCGGTTAAAGATAATTCATTTTGTTTGCTTCAATGATGCCATTTTTCTTTCGGAGTTGTTTCATCCTTCTACCGACGGAATTTTCATGAAATACGGTGTTTGTTTTTTTCTTGGAACGGTTTTCTGATGTAGCTCCTAAAGAGTGTAGGCAATAAGATGCAATAAGCTTATTTTTTGAGACAGCTTTGATCATGTATATAAACTTGCTCACCTAGGTCCCTCGAACCAAGATTTTACCAGTCTGGTGAAAACTCCGATCCGGTCGCTTTTGGTAGCCCCTGCCTTAAAAGGTCGCAACAAGTAATTCTATGTTGTTTATTTATCCATCTATCTATCTAAATTGCCACAAAGTTGTCATTCACTTCTTGGAATTGGTCAAAGCAAGACATGATGCAATGCACACAATCAGACTGTTTTCACGAATCTTGTTTGCAGCATTCAAAGGTCCTGAATCCATGACTATTCAGTCATTGACATCAAAGGCGACCGACGACTTCTGGAGACCAATACAGCTTTATTCGGCTCGACCTTTGTTTGCCGTTTTCGCCACCTGGGTGCTGGTTCTGACGTTTAGGGTCGGTCTGGGCCAGGGAGATGGAAATCAATGGAGCGATGCCCAGACCATCGACTATTCCAGTCGTGGTCGATCGAATTCCATGGCCCGCCAGATCGATTAATTGAGGTGCGAGGCCGAACAGAGACCTTGCTGCCAAAGGAACGAGGAACAAGGAGACGAGGGTTGTGTTAAGTGCGTGGTTTTTGTGGAACAAGTCATTGCCCCCGATATATAATACAACAGCACAGGATACTCCTGGGCCATGTAATGTGGGTGTTTCCACCTCTTCGGATCCGTTTTGGTCAGTTACTTCTTGCTATGAACGAATTGTATTTGGATGATTGGATGTCCGCTTATTGAAGCTCCTGGATGTAGACTTCACCGTTTCAAGCACTGGGGGCGGAACGAAGACATGTCCACCTATCCGAGTCCTGTTCTCCAACAGAGGCCTCTCCTCTTGAGCCATGGCATGTTCAGATTCCCAAGACATGTTATGGCTTACATTGAAGACATATTGGCATGTTCAATAGATGAAAATAGTTCAATATGGCCCTGAAATCAACCACCTCACGCTGCAGACAGACACGGTGTCACCACACCGAGATGCCGACGCCGCGGGTCGAACAGCGGGTCGGTCGGAACTAGGAGAAGGACCGGTTGACCGCTTTCTGGAATGGAAGCACGCAGTAAAAGGATGTATATAAAGGGCGAACTGAACAATCTTAGTATACTCTTTATACTCTTGATCTATGAGCAAAAGTATGCCTTTCAGAGGTTTTAGAATCATTTTGGGATACATTTGTTGATCAAGATTCTACATGAAACGTGTTTCGCGGCGATTTGCAGATCAATCACGATTCACACCGTCCACCTTCGGGTCCATCCAGTCGCGGTGTCTGGTGTTCATCTCCAACTCACTCGCCGCCTCATCGTGTTTTTTGTTTTTAATAGTGTGTGTCCGGTGGTGCAGATTGGCCAAATCTGGTTGTGCTTAAAAGCACGGCGCCAATTCTTGAGTCCCCCAGCTTCGACAGCCGCGGCTCGCGCAGGCAGACGTCCGTCCTCGATGAGCTGGCGGAAAAGAGGTGCGGTTAGATCCGACAGGTGAGATGGACTGGAAGCTGTTGGAATGGTGGACTGGTACCTTTTCTCGATCAAATATGATAAACTATGACAAACTAGAAGAAGGGGTGGGAAGAGGATATGTCAACAGATCTGGCTTTAAAGCCCGCCCTATATAGAATATTACACAATATTCTATTATTATGTATTTGCTACAAGTGTGGGCTGAAAGAGCTGCATCAACGAAGCATGCTCACCTTGGTGAGTCAGCATCCTTGACGGGGGTGATCAGTGCCCACCTAGACTTCATATACGCTATGGATCCACATGGATCCACATATCTTCTGAGAAGGTGAGCAGGGAGACTATAAATTCAGGCTTGGAGGGTCCAGTCATGTTCAGTCGTATTTTCGAAGGTATGTGGATCCCTAGGGATAGAAGACCAAGGATGAGCTCCTCATATCCTTTTCATTGTCCGACAGATCGTCAGATTACCACAACTTTGGATGCAAGGGATCAGCTAATCATCGTTCTTTGTGGAAGAATTAGGATCCACACCATGACTGTTGCAGACAACACCGTGGCTCGCGCAAGATGTATTGACAGTGACACCGTGTCAAGTCAGGCGATGCACAGAAGCAACTCGCTCGGTGGCTCACAGAAGATCACAGAAGCAGGGCCCCAGGGCGAGGCAAAGATGGTGACAGGCTTTTACTCGACCAAAGGCTTCATGATCTTGCCATCGCAGCTGGAGCTCGCTGTGTGGGTGGCTGCTTCACGTACAGCGTGGACGTCTACGCACACACGTTGGTGCATGTGCATGGCGTGGACGAGGGGCGACTGGCAAACAAGCGATTGCAGAGACTATCAGCGACACACGAAGAGTGCGAGACAAAGCACGGTAGCGTGTCAACTCAAGACGAAGTACGTGGGAAGGACCCAAAACAGAATGGACGAGATTCAACTCTCCAGCTACTTCTCAAGCGCACGTTGTTCATTCCGCAAGACGATCATTGCATGATATTGCCCCCAAAAGGGATTCCATGCGATCGGATCGTCCAGCAGTGAATTCTGTGGCCAGTGAATTCTGTCACGCCCCATGACTCTTCTCACCGAAAGGTGGAAAACCATGGCCAGAGACCCCCAGAGACGGAGGGTCCAGAAAGCCAAGTCCGGATCATGAGGTTTGCAAGAATTGCTCCACCAGCACCCGTTTTTTTTGTATTTGGGCGGCAAAAGGCATCGTACGTTTCGGTTTTTATACACCTCCCCAAAGCTGTGTGGTGGCAGAAGGTTTCTGACCCCCATTCTTCGCATTCCAGGCGCCAAGAGGAGGCGGCCTTGGCCGCCAAGCGCGAAGCCGCGCGCCGGAGGTGGCTTCGGAATGTATGGCGGAGCATGGCAGGGCCAAATCCTTTTGAAGGTTTTGAGCTGCTGAAAAGGATTGCTTTCACTAGCCTAGCTGCCACCAAGATCGGATTGGAGGGTTGAAGCATTTTGAAGCCTTAAAGTGGTGGCAGTGATGGTCCGCTTCTTGGACAAGTCACATTATAGGTATTGAGTTGTTCCAGCTACCTTGGCCGAAAGTTTGCTCAAGACATGTTTTGCAGTGATTGTTCAGATATTTGATAGGCATGTGTCCATAACTGCTTGGAACTGGTACTTGCGACGTTTGGTGGTACATGGTCCTAGGGGAAAGCTTGTGGTATGGAGATCCAAAGGAGATCAATGAGAAGTCTGATGATCAAGCTTCATGGTTGAAATATGTTGAAATCATTTTTTTAATGGCTATACCCCCCAAAAAGTTAAAATATGTTTTTAGAGAACCACAATAAGTTTGGTTTGCAAACCAGCAATTAATATACATGTTTATCATTTTTCAACATGCATAAGTCTGGTTTGCAAATATCATAATTATTTGAGAAGGAGATACTGCGGCCTTTGACAAAGCCAACAGTTGCCTTTCCTGCCATTTTTTTTTCTTTTAAGAAGTGTCTTTTCTGCCATTGATTTTTAAGCTTTGATATCATGTGGAAATATCTTGGTTTCTGCGTGGGGTGTTTTGTTGTTCCGCGGCTACAAGAAAAGCCTTCCCACTCAAATCAACGAGTCACCGGCAAACAAAAGGATTTCAAGACCATTGGAAGATAGTGGAAACTTGTCTCAAGACCAACGAGTCATTTGGTATCACGTCCTTTCTGAAGACATGGTATCGAAATCAACCTTTGATGCATGAAAGGCTTGAATATGCTTGAATCCTACAAAACACAGGCCGGGGCGAATCATCAAGCGTGACACTCTGCGAATCATCAACCTCTCAGGCGCTCCCGCCCTCCCAGGCGCCGGGAAGAGGATGCCAAGCCGAACGGCGCAGCGGCGCGGCCGCGTGGCGCGGTGGAGCACGTGGAGCGGCGGGTCGACCCGGACGACAACCAGAGCTACACCTGGGAGGAGTTGAGGTGCGAAGATCGGCGGAGATGAATGGAAGGGGTACTGGAGCCATGGTGGGTTTGTTCTTGACTTCTTCAAGGATTATTTGAAGATGATAGCTGGAAGGTACTTGTATCAGCGATTGATTCAATACATTATGAGGTAATTATTGCTAATCTAGATGATGTGAGAACCTTGTTTTTTTGTCGTTCCAAGAGTCTGGCAAAAAGAAGGAGGCCCAAGAGAATGAATCATATGTTTGATTAATTGCGGTCATCCCGAGTCATTCCTTTGTCAGCTACCAGAACCATTTGGCTGCGGGTCATGGCACCAGGATAATTCCCTTGGTTGACCGACCTAAAAGGTCAAAGTAAATGGTGGACCAGGGCTCCAGGATTTGACCTACAGCCATTTATATGCCATTTATATGATCGGCAAATTGCCGATTGTTGTAATCCACACTTGTCACTTGTGTGTGACGCACAGGGTTTCCATATGCATGGTTGTGTGTCCATAATGGGGTTTTGTCGTCGGTGCTTTGGGGATTGACACGACGGCGAGGCAGGCTGTTTGTCGCTTGTAGCCGTGCCAGGGAGCGATATCGCGGGATGTTCTCAGAGGCTGAAGTCCTCGAGTACTGGCAGAAGGACACTGACACGCGACCTTGAAAACGCCCCACATCGACCCTGAAACAAGAAAAGCCGAGGGTTGTAGAACATAATGTTTTTTGGGCAATCTTTTGCCTGTAGGTTCCTCTTAAGAATCGAGGGAGCTATTTGCTTTTCGCCCCTTCCAACATAGGGGTGATTGCACAACAGCCATGCCCTCAAGAAGGTGAAATAGCATGATTCTGATGGGTCTATTTTCACCAGGTAATCACGTATCCTAGTCCATCATGGCTTCAAATATGGGCTCAAGGAACTCCCACAGAGTCTAATTTATAGTTGCTCTGAAACTCAGACGAATCCAGAACGCAACTGTTCTTCTTTGTTCTTCTGTAGTTGTTCTTCTGATTCGCATGGAATCACTGCGGCGCAGTGCGGCATTGCTTTTGCACTGTATGTTCCTTTTGCACTGTCGTTCGGCCTCACTCGTTTTCTCCAGTCACCAGTCCTTCGGCCCGGGCCCGGTGTGGTTCGGGGGCTGAACCAGGCAGGTACCATACCCACCGTGGCCCGGTTCGTCCATTTACCGGGCCCTTTGGGTTTGATGGCCGTGCCGGACTGGTGACGCGCAGGACTGCAAAGTGGCGCCGAGCCCTTTAGGTGAGCACAAGGGCTGGTGACGAGTCGTTGGTGAAGTCGACGGTTGAAACAGGTCGGTGTTGTTGTTTTCACCTGGAACGCACAGAGCAACCAGTGGTTGTGTGACATGGCACGATGGCTGGCACGCTTGTTCAAGCCCTTGCGTGGTGGTGTGGTGTCATTTACCGCCAGATGGTGGCGGTGGCGAGGAATGTTGATGAATTTGTTGATGGTATCATCCATGCATTGTTCATTTTTCTTCAACGTATATTCAGTGACCAGGAAAAACGCCGTGGTTGGGGATCTTGTTGATGTGGACAAGAACCCTTTGAAACGTGGAAGTATCCGAAGAGTACGCTTGCAAGTGGACACACTGTGTCCAACAATGCAATTATGAAAGTTCAACATATGCAGTGCAAGCATCATCATCATGTACACACCATTCAAGAGAAATAGCAAATACAATCAAAAGGTGCCCAAGTCCCATGGGTCAAGTCTGGCGAACCACTCTTGTGTACACATAAGTTTGACAAAGAAGTCAGTATAAAGCGGCCTGGATCCGGATGTTTGCTAGGAACAACTGCCTCTTAAAAAAAGCAGAGGATTGTACAAGCAAACAAATCAGCAGGATCGATGGCAGCATGTTGTCTTGCAGTCAGCAACTGACAGCATCGTTGGAAAAGGCAACCCTTTTTTTGACCTTCGAATATTGCACAGACGTGTTGCCCCATCCAGAATCCATTAGTGTCACCATTATCTCTGACGTTCGGTCGCTCGGGCGCGGCGTGAGCGGCGCCGCGAGCTGCGTGTCCGGCCGCGAGGCGGCTCAAGTCTCTGAAAAGGGGCGAGCAAGGTCAGCCGCCCTCCTAATGGGTCGAGATGATGTCCATCTCCGCAAAAGCCGACGACCAAGGTCGAGATGAGAAGGGTTCAAATCGATAGGAATACCAAACATAGGGGTATGGATACCAAGACCAAGCAAAACACCCGAGGGAACCCGAACAAAATCGACGTCCTACTGACGACAGAGATCGGTAAGAGCAACCCTAACCATATCGACCATGGTGGTGACCGTCGGTCGAACAAAAAGGTCCTGTACCTGCCTCATGACTCTGCGGCCTCCAACTTCTTCAAAGGGAAACAAGCCGGAGTCAACGAAAGCGTAAAGAAAAACGAATTCGAGAAAGCTACAAACGGTTCTACGGCTCTCAGGACCTCCGCTGCGGCGCAGCCAGCCGACCAGCTCCTTGTAGAAAGCGGGCGGCAAACGGCCTGGCTCCACGTGAAGGTCTCCTGTCGTCACCAGTGCAGTCGTCAGGGTAGGTGGAAGTCCTGAGTCGGTGTCACTGGAAATGACAGTCTCAATGTGCTCTTCTTCGGTAGTTCGCAAATCTCCTGCAGAAACAATGAACTGCAACAAATGTTCTTGGCGGTGTCGCCAGCAAATATCGTAAGCGGCGACCCGTTCAAACAATGCCAACACTTGTGAAGGACGGTTGGAGTTCATGTATCCAGCAATTCGATCTGCAACATCGTTCCACTTACGAAGCCAGTCTTCAAATGGCGATTCGCAGTGCCTCTCATCAAGGTGACTGGGCACCCAATGGAAATAAAACTGTCCGACTTCTGAGGCATCCAGGGCTGCGCTGAGCCCCAGCCAAAGGTCCTGGTGCTCCCATGTGTGTGGTATGACCCCCGTGTTCTGCACAAAGGCGGCCCCAAGTGCAATATGCTGGGAATCCGACCACACATGAACTTCAGCTTGTGTCTCAAGCAGTCCCCATCTGACCGTGCTCACAAGGGCGGTGAGCTCCGCCCTACCTATTGACTGGCATGGACCATGAAGAGGGGCTCCACAAATGACTTGACCCGTAGTAGCACTCACCGAGGCCCATGCAGAGTGAGCAACCCGGGATTGTCTATGTTGAAAATGAGCTCCATCCGTAAAAACATGGTTCTGGCCAAAACATGGTCTGGACAAAAACTCAGTCGTACAATCTGGCAGTGCGTCAAAGTAAGCAGCGAGTTCGGTCACCAGCGCAGCTTGTGGCAGCAAAACATGGTTTTTAAAACAACGGGGCCAAGAGTCAAAATCAGGGAAAGTGGCTCTAAAGGGTCCATTGAGGGAAACCAAAAGGGGGCATGAAAACCAATGTTCAAGTGTGTCAGGGCACTGACAGTGATGACACAACCGATCAATGGCAACATCATACCTGCCGAACTTCGCATTGTCAATGTAGCACCCGCTCGAGATGGCTGACAGCTGTGCTTTCTCCAAAGAAGAAAGTGAGCGTGTGAAGCTCCGATGTGCCCAAAGGTCGATACCATGTAGATCTTCGGCAGTTTTGCGGCTACGAAAGCCTTGTGCAACACGCCAAGCCCATGCATCCAGCAAACGATGTTCACACCAGTGCCAAGGAACCTTGAGCAGAGACCATTCAACCTGCCAGTGGTCCAGGATCCTGTCTGCGCTGAGAAAACTCCAACCAAGATGCGATGTCATTTCAAGCATCTTAGAGAAAGGGCCCGCTAGCAGATCTCCATTGTAGGCAGCTAAAAACGTAGCCCAATGCATGAAAAAGTCAGAGGACTTCCTGCAAAGCCTCCTGAAATCCATGAGGACAGTCTTGTGGTGCCATAGCAGAGGATCCGAAAACGGCATATCAGAGAGCAGGAATCTCATGGCAGGGGATGATCCCGCCTTCCTCCAGCCCAAAGCCAAAGCGGCTTTGCGACGCAAGACATCCAGGTGTGAGTAAGCGAACCTGCAGGAAAGAATGCCATGTAACCCCTCCGGCCAAAACACAGTAGAAAGCGCAAGCAACTTCTGTGTCAAAGAGGCAGCAGATCTCTTCAATACTGGCCAACGATCATCTAGGCGCGACATCCTGTCTTTGATGTCGCAAACCCTTGGTCGTGCGCCAAAGGTGAGTGATCCACCAAGTTCTTTGGCATGTTCAAGTCGTTGAAGTGGGAACTGTGCAAGAGCCTTGCGATTGTCGCCATCAACAGCCCAGCAGTAAGATTTGTCAAGGTCAATTTCCAATCTCCAAAGTTTGAAGAAGGAGGTCATGGTGGAGAACCCAATTGCAAGTGAGCCCGCATCCAAACTCAAAAGGCCCAGATTGTCGACATAACTGTAGGCATTGACCGAATGTTGAGCATAAATGTGCCAGGTCCAGTCCAAGAATACACATCGCAAACACTGAAAGAGCATCTCCTTCAGGGAAGCCAACGGTGCTGAGCGAGCACTGACTGAGCTCCCCCTGCACCACAAAGGTCCGCGACATGGTCGACAGAAAGGTGGCCCATGGCCCCGTCACGGAGCCAGGCGTACCAATATAGTCGATCATCCAGAACAAAGGAGCCCTGGGCAGACAATTGAAAGCCCGTACTATGTCAGAGCTCAATCCACATAGAGCGGAACCACCTCTGCAACTGAGTTTGATCAGTGCTTGCCAGTATGCCCAAATGCCAGCTGCTTCCTGTCCAGGGATAAAGCCGACTTGTTCAGCAGGGAGGTACTGCGACAACTGCGCCAGGAGCTGTCGGCTGCGAATGCTGCCCCACGTTCTATAAAGCAAGCTGAGGACAACAATAGGCCTGAAAGAGGCAACCTCATGTGCATCTGGAGTTTTGGCAAGTGCCTGAATGAGGCCAGTATGAGTTTGAGATGGCCAAGGGGCCCCAGCCTCAATGGAGGAGAGCATGGTGAGCAATGATGCAGTAAGCGCGGAGGGCATATGGAGAAAGTCACGATGGTCCAGTCCATCAACCCCTCTGGCCGCGGTGGGCTTGTACCGTCTCAGTGCTTTTTGCCAATGTGAAGGCTGGATGGCCGGAAGATCAAAGCTGATAGGCCGCATGTGCGCCTTGGCGAAATTGACGATGCGTAGCCAATCTTCTTCAGGGATATCACTGTAAGCATTCCAGCGAGGACGCCAGAAATCAACAAAGGCTTGGTGGACCTCCGTCAAGTCGGAAAGGACCTGATGCTGGTGAAGTTCATCGCCAGGAATCAGCTGAGTAGGCAAGGAAGAGACCTGACAAAGATCATCTTCGGACTCCATGACGGTTGTTCGCACCCCATTGATGGTCCATGTGGACTGTCCATGGAGGTCGAGCGGTCGGTCCAAGTGAAGGGACCCAGTGGAGGGCTCAAAGTCCAGGATGGTGTAGTAGTGGTCGTGCCACAGAAGATCAGGTTTGGCTTTGGGTTGCCTACGGAGTTCACCATAGAGGCCTGCCATGGATGCATCGTGCTTGGCCTTCAGAACTCGGCAGCGTTGTCTAATATGCCAAGATTCAAGTCGGTCAAAACGGTCCCGAAAGGTAGCATAGATACGGTCAATGCCTTCACACGAGGGGATGGCAATAGGAAGAACAGGAGGATCATGAGGAGTCCCGTCTTCATAGCCAGTGTTCCAGAAGGTGCGGAAGCCCTTGTCGAATCCTCTGGCTCGGAGAATGGAACTCCAATGCTCGCAACGAGCTACCTGTGCGGAGGTATAGTCGTTGTTAGCATGGATGGCATGTCGTAGAGATTGAATGCGACGAAGTTGCTTGAACCAATCTCGGACAGCCAGTGTAGTATGGTCAGCCCTAAGTTGGACTTCCCCCTGCCGGCTAGGTCGGGAAAAGTGCACCTGAGTGTCAGTGAGATCAGGACTGGTTCGCTGTGCCCGTCCGCGTTGATGAGGAAGGAGATTGCCCCCAGGTTGTCCTCGTACGCGGCCTTGCAAACAGGACTCCAGCTGTTGACCAATGTGGCGATAGGTGCAAGTAGTGGATCCAGTGGTATCAATGCCAACGGTCGTCTGGTCAAGGCCATCACATTGCACCTGGCCCCAAGGTATACGTGCAGGTAGAGGCCAGTGAAAGACTTGTCGCACCTTCACATCACAGGAAAAGTCAACCGCAACGGTGGCATGTTCAATGAAGATGTCCAGGACTTCAATGTGGCAGCAAAGAGCTTGCGCTTCAGGGCTCAGCCAAATGAAGTCTCTCTCAGTGGCCCCTTT